GTGCAGGACATATGATATGCAAGGTACAAACAATGCAGGTGCTGGTTTTCTGTCTCCCGCCCGATCCCCCCTGAGCAATTTCTTACCCTATAGAAACTGCATATTTGCCTGGTTTTTCCGATCCTTTGCCCTTCCCGCCCGCCACTCCTTTTAAATTCTCAACCCCCCCCTCCCCACAATCTGTTTGAGGCGGTTTGCCGGTGGAGAAACTTTGGCTTCATTTAGTTCTGGCGCCCAAGAAATATATATATATATAAACCCAAAAAAAAAAAAAAAAAAAAAAAAAACCCCAAATCACATCAAAACGCCCAAGGTTTTTCCTATCTGAGTCCTGGCTCCAGGTACCAGTGTAAGTCTAAATAAAAGATTCATGTGTTACTCTGCTCTCGGGGTAACGATGTCATAGATGCAACTCTGCAGGAGTGGAACCTGCCCAAATCCAGGCCCGTGACGGGGATGCCTGCGACACTTCCCTAGTCTTGACGTTATCGGAACCCCATGTCTCTTTAGGCTGACCCGGCAACAAATATTTATATATATATATATATATATATATATATATTTATGTATATATATGTACATATTCTCCCGATCCTTCTCCCCTCTTCGTTCCTACCACGCTTATATATATAAGACATCAATCCATCTAATTCATATTGTGTAATTCGCGGGCATTTCTCATTTCAATCTGCCATTCATTATTGAAAAGGAGCAGACGACCAACATCCCCCATCCCCCAAGATGGGCAGTTACGAGGAGCCAATGGATCAGGAACTACAGACCAGAACAGCAAATCCAAGATCACAGCCAAGGCCGTGGAGAGAGACGCCTCTGGTTGAGTCTGAGCCACTGTCGAAGGCAGCAGGATGGTACGTATAGCCTCCACGTCTCTTCCACACCTCATTGTCGACTTTTCCCCCCCGCAGAATATGATGACAGTGTCCGTGGCCTTCTTCTTCCGATTGGTATCAAAAAGGGAGGTAGGGCTAACACAACAGAAAAAACAATAGCCGCATCTTCCTAAAGCTTGAGAATCTGCAACCAGGCGGGTCTTTCAAATCACGGTTAGTCATCCCCCCCCCCCCCCCCCCCCTCTCATATACTATCGTTTTTGGGATTTTGAAACCCCCCCAATCTTGGATGTGGATTCTGGGCAAAAAGAAACCCCCCCCCCCCCCCCCCTTCTTAAAGGAGCACAAGGGGGTGAACGGTGTTCTTGCAATTTTGCTATCCTCGTCCAAATAGAAAAAAGACCTACCCTCTTTTTTCCCTCTGACCGGGTACGAAGTAACTTGACCGAAACGCACTTCGAGCTCGAACTTCTCTCACTTGGTTATGGGGGGAATCTTATGGGTAATCATGACCGAAAAGATTTTTATAAGAAGTAAAAGCTAAAAAAGGGCTCATCCA